ATATTTCAAATTTGAAGATTTACATTTTTAAAAGCCCTAGTTGCAGGAAAATGATAAAATTACAATATTTAAATGAGACCTAGGGTTTTACAATTCGCAACACCTACGATATTCAGGAATATGGATCTAGGATTTTAAAGTTCCTAGGTTTATTTATAGCACGATTACTTGACCGGAAAGCCGAGTTCTTCTCGGACTCCATTTTTCAAATTTGAAGCCATCAAAAACCCTAGTGACGACAGGACTCGAAAATCATAAAATTACCATATTTAAACAAGATCTAGGGTCAAAAATTAGAAAGAATTTAGATATTCAGGAATCTGTACCTAGGATCTTTGAAATTCAAAGGGCTGTAACTTTTGAAATAGTAGCCCAATCTTGGAACTGTTTGAAATTATGGATTCTACAGGCCACATTCTATAAGAAAATTTTTTTTCCGGGTCGATCTGAGACATTTTTTTTTCGGGCCTCAAAAAAAGGCAGTGTATAACCTTCCTTTTTTACCAAAAATCGACTGCACCAAAATTTCTCGGGAAAACACTTTTTATTATTAATTTTGGTGCGTAAAATCCAAAACAATTCGTACTTTTTCGATCAGACTTCTCAATCAAAAGTTATAGACTAGAAACCAATTTCGAAAGAAAATTCAAAGGACTGTAACTTTTGAACTAGCAGCCCAATCTTGGAACTGTTTGAAATTATGGATTCTACAGGCCACATTCTATAAGAAAATTTTTTTCCGGGTCGATCTGAGACAATTTTTTTTTCGGGCCTCAAAAAAAGGCAGTGTATAACCTTCCTTTTTTACCAAAAATCGACTACACCAAAATTTCTCGGGAAAACACTTTTTCTTATTAATATTTTCTAGGTCTGCTCATTGCGAACTTTAGAAATGTGGACATCGTAATCGTAGATTTTTAAGATTCTGTTTTTTTACGACTGTACATTCAAAATTCCTAGGTGTAGAATTAGACTAAAATTTCTAGGATTTTCAAAATCCTAGGTTTACTTATCGTAAGCTTGCCGAGCAAAAGAGCTCTGTATCAAAAATGTGTGATATTCTAACTGTATATTTCGAATATGAAGATTGCGTTGCGTTGCCTTGTCAGAGCATTCAAATATTACAAAATTACAATTAAACCTAGGGGGATATTCAAATGTGGGCTTAGGATTTTCAAAATCCTAGGTTGGGTTTATTCATTGCGCGCTGGCCGAACCGAAGAGCAGTATTACGATCTCGAAAATCCTATGCGCAAAAGTAGATAATGGTAAAATTTCAGTCCCCAAATGGACACGATTCGAGCAGTTAGCAGCACTTTGGATACTCAAGAACGTGGACTCAGGATTTTCAAAATCCTAGGTTTACTTATCGTGCGACAATTAAAAAGTAAACCAAGAATAGCTTGAAATTAAAGGCAACAAAACCAAAAGGGCCATGTAGATATAAGATCTAAGAAGAACGAGGTATAGAAGAAGATGCATGAAGAAGATACAAGAAGCTTATGAAGATCAAGAAAGAAGGTGTAAGAGGAGCGTAGAGAACCAGAAAAAAGGGAGAAAAAGTAAAAAACAGAAGAGCTAGAAGTATAGTAAGATGCAGGAGAACATACAATAAAATACAAGATGAACAAGGAGGCCAACAAAGGAAAAGAGGGAAAGAAGAACGGTGACAGACTGAACGCTAGAAGAGTCAAGTCAAGAAGGTAAAACAAAAGAAGATCAAGAAATGCATGAAGAAATATAAAAGCAAAGAGATACAAGAAGGTGGAAGAAGGGATACCCGGCAAGCAGCCCTTTTCTGATTATGATGGATGGACACCAAAAAGACGGTCCATGTAAAAGCAGCCGGTTTTAGGAAAAATGCGATTACCTTTAATCGAAAGTGACCAAGAGACTGCTGAGGGTTCTAAATACTCAGGGAAGGAATGTACCACTACCCGGGTGGGAGTCTGAGGGATATGGAATAGCCCCACGCCAATACTCCCAGGAAAAAATGAATCTTCCTCGAACAGGGCGTAAATATTTTAGGAAGGAATGGAGCACCGGGGTGTCTGGGAGGTATGAATGCCCTCCAGGCCAATACCCCCTAGGAATAAAGAATTCGATTACCCTTCATCGAAAGTGATGAAGAGAGTGCTGAGAGTTCTAAATATTTGGGGAAGGAATGTGGTACATGGGGGATCTAGGGGGTATGGAATACCCTCCAGGGAAAAATGAGTTTGATTGCTCTTCATCGAAAATAATCAAGAGAGTGCGGAGGGTTTTGAATGTTGCACCAGCAGGTCTGGGGGGTTAATCACCTAGGAAAAAAAGAGTTCGATTATCCTTCAATTGTAAGTGATCAAGACAGTGCTGAGTGTTCTAAATATTTTTGAAAGGAGTGCAGCACCGGGGTGTCTGGGGGGTATGGAGGCAATATATCCCCTAGAGAAAAAAGAGTTCAATTATCCTTCATCAAAGGTGATCAAGAGAGTGCTGTGTGTTCTAAATATTTTGGAAAGGAATGTAGCACCGGGGGTCTGGGGGGTACAAGATACCTCCCCCCCCCCAGCCCAATGTCCCCAGGAAAAGAATTCGATTGCCCTTAATCGAAAATGATTCTAAATATTTTGGAAAGGAACGTAGCACCGGGAGTGTGGAGATATGGAATACTCCCCAGGCAATATCCCCTAGGAAAAAAAGTTCAATTACCCTTCATAAAGGTGATCAAGAGAGTATATTTTGGAAAGGAATGTAGCACCGGGGGTCTGGGGGGTACAAGATACCTCCCCCCCCCAGCCCAATGTCCCCAGGAAAAGAATTCGATTGCCCTTAATCGAAAATGATTCTAAATATTTTGGAAAGGAACGTAGCACCGGGAGTGTGGAGATATGGAATACTCCCCAGGCAATATCCCCTAGGAAAAAAAGTTCAATTACCCTTCATGGAAGGTGATCAAGAAAATGCGGAGGGTTCTAAATATTTTGAAAAGGAATGTGGCCCCTGGGGTTTGGAATATCCCCAGGAAAGGGAGTTCGATTATCCTTCATCTAAAGTGATCAGGAGTGCCGAGTGTTCTAAATATTTTGGAAAGGAATGTAGCACCGGGGGTCTGGGGGGTACAAGATACCTCCCCCCCCCCAGCCCAATGTCCCCAGGAAAAGAATTCGATTGCCCTTAATCGAAAATGATTCTAAATATTTTGGAAAGGAACGTAGCACCGGGAGTGTGGAGATATGGAATACTCCCCAGGCAATATCCCCTAGGAAAAAAATTCAATTACCCTTCATCAAAGGTGATCAAGAGAGTGCTGTGTGTTCTAAATATTTTGGAAAGGAATGTAGCACCGGGGGTCTGGGGGGTACAAGATACCTCCCCCCCCCCAGCCCAATGTCCCCAGGAAAAGAATTCGATTGCCCTTAATCGAAAATGATTCTAAATATTTTGGAAAGGAACGTAGCACCGGGAGTGTGGAGATATGGAATACTCCCCAGGCAATATCCCCTAGGAAAAAAATTCAATTACCCTTCATAGAAGGTGATCAAGAAAATGCGGAGGGTTCTAAATATTTTGAAAAGGAATGTGGCCCCTGGGGGTTTGGAATATCCCCAGGAAAGGGAGTTCGATTATCCTTCATCTAAAGTGATCAGGAGTGCCGAGTGCTCTAAATATTTTGGAAAGGAATGTAGCACCGGGGGTCTGGGGGGTACAAGATACCTCCCCCCCCAACCCAATGTCCCCAGGAAAAGAATTCGATTGCCCTTAATCGAAAATGATTCTAAATATTTTGGAAAGGAACGTAGCACCGGGAGTGTGGAGATATGGAATACTCCCCAGGCAATATCCCCTAGGAAAAAAAGTTCAATTACCCTTCATGGAAGGTGATCAAGAAAATGCGGAGGGTTCTAAATATTTTGAAAAGGAATGTGGCCCCTGGGGGTTTGGAATATCCCCAGGAAAGGGAGTTCGATTATCCTTCATCTAAAGTGATCAAGAGTGCTGAGTGTTCTAAATATTTTGGAAAGGAACGTAGCACCTAGGGGTCTGGGTGACCGCCCAGGAAAAAGAGTTCGATTATGCTTATAAATTCTAAATATTTATGTACCCCCACCCCCCAGGAAAGAAAAAATTCGATTATCCTTAATCGAAAGTGACCAAGAGAGTGCCGAGGCTTCTAAAAATATTTAATTATTTATGTTTTATTCTTGAATAGTGCTCGATAGTCGACCCTTGAAACCCTAAAGAGCTCTTGGAAGTCGCTTCTTCTCTCAAAGAATCTACAAGACCCTCCTAAGTGGTTTAGAGTGTCAAAGTCCTTTAATGCCCCTTCCTCGCGTTAAGTTTCTTTTAAGTTCGTATCTATTACCCGATAAGCAGCGCTTCTCCCATTATGATCTAAAGGGCAATCGACACCGAAAAAGTGCTTCATATACTTAAAAACAGCTGGTGCTCTAAAAAAATACGATCTGTGGAGGATGCTACAAGCAATCTTTCTTTCTATGAAGAAGGGCGGTTTATGCTCAATCGGCGGCTAATATGATACCTAATGTAAAAGTGGAGGGTGTTGCGAAATATGCGATTCATGGAAGATGCGACAAGACGCCCTTCCCCCTGTCGGTGGTTGTCTTAAAAAATGCTTTTACATACCCGTTTTAGGAAGCAGTGAAATTGTTGGTTTAAATTTCTGTTATATTTAAAGGACAGATTGGAGAGATGCGCGTTAATGGACAAAGCGTCATAATCACAAGGTAAACATTATTCACCCTATGACGTCAGTTGTTTTTACGTTAATCGCTATTTTCTCCATTCGCTCCAAGCAGAAATCTTGTAGATCTGTACGACCTTTACGCATCACAAGTTATAAATAGACATGAATTAATTATTATTTGAAAATACAAAGTGAATTAGTCTCACGCGAAGGATGCCGCGGTCGGTTTCCATTATCTCGGCGCAAAAGGAAACTTTCCCCGAAAATCGCGTTTTTATCTTATCGCATCCCGCAGTTTTCGAATCGAACGTACCTGATCGACGTCATCCTCGCTGCAGTATTCGTACATCAGATCAGATTTCCATCGATCGATGTCCGTCGGAATTGAGAGTTCGATACGCGCGAAAATGACCGGCGAAATTTCGACGCAGTCGTCGAACTCGAACGAGACGCGACAGACGCGGCCGTATTTCAAACGCGTCGCGTCGCCGAAATCGGTCGTGCAATTCCAAATGTTCTCGTACGAACCGCTGAGAGACCTCTTGTAATTTCGTCCACTTTCACTACTCATGCTATCGTCATCGGCACTTTCACTATCGACGCACGGCACGCACGGGTCGTAACACTCGGTCAGGTATCGCAAATTGCCCAGCCAATCGTCCAGGTCGCCGCGATACTTGAACATGTCGCCGCGACTCCCAATTTTTATGTAACAAAACTACATTCGCGTTACGGCATCTCCGGATATGAGAAAAAGCCTCATCCGGTGCCCCCTTTCCTCCTAATTTTTGTTGATAAATTGAAATGACGCGGCCTGGATGCGACGCGTCGTCTTCACGAACTGAACAAGAGTCGGCTTTATTTATTGATAAGACACTCCCCGATCGTGTTAGTCATACTCTTAAGTGCCCTTAAATTATTTAATTAACGCTCGCAATTAAATGATTCCCCGGCTCGGACTGGGCGCTCTTACAAAACATTTGCTCGCCCGATTTGGAAATAACAAATAAAGATAAGGAAATTCTAGAAAATGCACGCAGTTTACTGCTGGATAAGAAAAAGGGAAAGTGGGGAGTATTTGTTGATGAATGTGGACTAAATTAAGTAATTTACAAACAGTGTGTGCCATTGACGAACGCTTTACTTCCCTCTATCTACGATAACCCCTGGAATTGACCGCTTCTTTTTAAATAAGCCGCCTTTATTCCGGATTATATCATTGGCGCCATTTTTATGCGCCCCAATATTGCACCATCTGCGTCTTCCCGCGCCAAAAGCTCCTAAAAGATTATTGACGACCTCTAAATACTTATGAAGCTTCACTTTTAGAGACTCTCCAAGACTCTTAAACACTAACATCCTCGTAATAGTAGATTATATATCACGAGTCAATAATGATAGCTATTATTCTCGAGGAGTATTTACGAATTGAGCCGCTTCAGTGGCGAGGAGTAAAATTCCGAGAGTATAATAGCCATTATTGCGAGTAATATACTCTACTTTATCTCTACGACTAATTTAATAGCTTGAGATTTTATCCATTTTAATACAAAACAAGTACCTATACATTGTGCAGATAAAGCGCACTTTTCAACCGAAATATCTTTTGTTTTGACATCACCAATGGATATAATTCTTGCAAACGTCTCAATCGCCCTTTGTGAGTACTCTCTTCCGACAATCCATTCTTGAGGTATAAGGGAATATACCCGATCACGATAAGAGGTCGAGGAGGAGGGCTATGGTTGGTAGAAATACCTAATTCCTTTCGCGGAGACCTTTCATTAGAGTACCATGAAGGATAAAACTCGTTCCACTCCTCCCCCCCCCCCCCCCCCCCCCCGTATTTTGATAAGAGGACAGAAAGATGAAGGTCAGAAAACGGTTCATTTCGTTGGGACCTTTAATTAGAATACAATGACAGATAAAATTAATTTTTAAACCCCCCCCCCCCCTCCCGAGGTACCTACACTATTTCCTAAAAACGTATGATGTAAGCACTTACACGAACATTTTCTGAACAAAACCACTGTCTTTTCCTTAAAACCGCCGTGGGAGGCTGATCCATGATTTCAGGTGAACATAGTATACCGTGGTATCTGGGAGGTATGGAATACCTCCAGGAAAGAAGGGATTGTTACCGTCCAGTTTACAAATGTTGGATTACCTTTTCCCAAAAACCACCATGAAACTGCCAGGGGTAATAAAGGAAAATCTATTGTTGGAAGTTCTCTCTTTGCTGGGGGTATTCCATACCCCCACACCCCCCGGAGGTACTCTATTTCCGAAAAAAGTATGATGTAAGCACTTACACGAAAAATTTTTTTTCGGGTCGATCTGAGACAATTTTTTTTCGGGCTCAAAAAAAGGCTTTTTTTATCAAAATTCGACTGCACCAAAATTTCTCGGGAAAACACTTTTTCTTATTAATTTTGGTGCGTAGAATCCAAAACAATTCGTACTTTTTCGATCAGACTTCTCAATCAAAAGTTATGGGACTAGAAACCAATTTCGAAAGAAAATTCAAAGGGCTGTAACTTTTGAACTAGAAGCCCAATCTTGGAACTGTTTGAAATTATGGATTCTACAGGCCACGTTCTACAAGAAAAATTTTTTTCCGGGTCGATCTGAGAGAATTTTTTTTCGGGGCTCAAAAAAAGGCAGTGATAACCTTCCTTTTTTACCAAAAAACGACTGCACCAAAATTTCTCGGGAAAACACTTTTTCTTATTAATTTTGGTGCGTAGAATCCAAAACAATTCGTACTTTTTCGATCAGACTTCTCAATCAAAAGTTATTGACTAGAAACCAATTTCGAAAGAAAATTCAAAGGGCTGTAACTTTTGAACTAGTAGCCCAATCTTGGAACTGTTTGAAATTATGGATTCTACATGCCACATTCTATAAGAAAATGTTTCCCGGTCGATCTGAGACAATTTTTTTGGGGGGGCTCAAAAAAAGGCAGTGTATAATCTTTTTTTACCAAAAATCGACTACCCCAAAATTTCTCGGGAAAACACTTTTTCTTATTAATTTTGGTGCGTAGAATCTAAAACAATTCGTACTTTTTCGATCGGACGTCTCAATCAAAAGTTATGGACTAGACATATGGCATACCCCTAGGAATGAAGGGAAGGTGACCGCCCTGTTTATCAACGTTTGATTCTCTTTCCCCAAAAATCACTATGGAAGTGCTAGGGGTAATCAATTCTGTCCCGAATTTTCTTCCTCTTTTCGTCATTCACCGTCATCTGCCTGTTACTTTCACTCTTTCATTTTTTCTCTCGCTTCCTTTTCTTTAGCTCTTTTTATACCTTTCCCTCTATTTCACGTTCTTTCGCTTCTTTTCTTTTCAGTTTCCCTCTGTACCTACTACTCCCCACTTTCGTACTTTTCCTCTGTTCGTATCGTGTTCCTTCTCTCTCATCTGTCTCACTCTTTGTTCGCTGTCTTTTTCTTTTGTTCGCTTCCTTTTTAATCTATCTTGCTCTATCTCAAAAAATTAACTAATTATAAGAATTAGGAAATACCAACCACCGCCTCCCGCAATTGCTGAGCGAGCAAAAATAAGACTTTAGTATTGCTTGTCTTTCGTGTGCCTTTAAGATTGATTCCAGAACATTTTAAAGGGAATTCCAAAGTACCTAATTTTCAAAAGAGTTGATAAAATTTCGAAGAGATGCTCATTCCTACTCCCCTTTCTTTTGCTCCAAGTTGGTCTTACGGTCTTGTCCTCTCCGTCTCCCCTTCTGTATAACTTTCGCGCGCTCTCACTTCTCCCTCCACAATTCTTAATCGCTATATATTTCTCCTTCTTTGGTTCTTTGTCCATTTCTCTCTCACTCTCTTCTCTACCTGCTTCTCTTTCTCAAAACTCTCCTCCCTTTCCCGTCTTACGCTTCCCATTTCACTTTGTTTCACTACCAATCTCTCTCCCCTTTCCTTTCTCTATCCCACTCTCCTCGCTTATTACCTTCGGATTTCCCTTCTCGCGCACGCTTTCGATTTTCGTCTTTTATTCTCTCCCATTCCTCTTCTGCTTTCTCTCTCTTCTAATCTCCTGCCGCTATGTTTTCAACTTTGCTTACTACTTTTTGCTTTCTCACTCTTCACCTCTCTCTATTCCTCGCCCCCTATCTCCCCAGATGTTACCGCTGGTTCTGTACCTGTCCCTCCATTTTATTCTTGTTCCTGTCTCTATCTCTTCTAAAATAAAGAAAATCAAAACACAACGTTCAAAAATAAATGTCCCCGTGTCACCGTCCCCCTTATCTGTCTCTCTCAAATGACCTCCCCTCCCCACTTTTTGGACGGAGAAGCACCAGGAATCCGAATCAAGCAAAATCTCGATGATGTCGCTACGTCTGCACCCTCATTTTCGGCTAAAGCGATTGGAACCAAATTTGGTACCTATACATATTCTTAAACAGATATTCCTCGTTCTCTGTCTTTTTCTTTCGCTATCTCACCCTATCTCAAAATTTTCTGCAGATAAAAAAAGGAACATTAAACGTAAAGGGATTTTCTCTCTCACACCCTCACTTCTGCGCTTCCTCTGTCTGTTCACACCCTCTCTCTATCTCCCTCCTACTTTCGTTTCTTCAGCTCAAGGACCAAAGAAAGAGAAATATTGTGAAACTTTCTCATTTTTGCATTCGTTTATTCCTTGTCTCACTCCTTTTTTCTCTTTCTTTTCATCTTTCCCCCGCGCGCGGTTCATCAGATCCCACACTCTCGGTCGCTTTTCCCATCTGCCCATTCTTGTCTCTGTCTGTCTGATGGCCATCGTTAATCTACCTTCCCTCTATACTCCGTTCTTTTACTTTCTTTTTTTTTCTTTGGTCGAAATTAATTCCTTGCGTTGAGACATTTCATTAGAGTACCATTGAAGGATAAATCCAGTTCCCCCCCCCCCCTCCTCAAACCCCCAGTTGCTTTGTTGAGACCTTTAATTAGAATACCTACCATGAAAGATATCATCTAGTTTTTTTTCGGGTAAATGACCAATGATAAAACCTAAATCATTTTGATTCGGCTCGAAGGACTAATTTGTAACCGAGCGATATTTTCGCGTAGCTATATCGCCAACAGTAAACACCCTGGTAAAATTGAAAAAACTTACTTTATCACTCCTCCGCCGATTCCGTATCTGCAGCTCACTGATCACTTTATTAAACTCTAAAATAGTGTCGCAACGAATTTCGCACTCGGAGACACTTTTCGCGTTCTGCATGTGACCGTCTCCGCGAATGCTCGCGCGTCTCACGCGATCGAATCCGCCCTTCTGCAGCTCGACATCGTCCAAAGAAACCGATTTGCGCTTCTCCAAGTTGCTGCTTCGAAACAGCCTACGTATTCTTGACACATTTGACTTTTCGTACACGCTTCGCGAATAATTGAGGCTTGACAGCGTCGCGCGCGCAAAATGCGACGATTCTGGCAATTCAGCAGTTGCCGGGTCCGATTTTGAGTTAAACGTTTTCGAGCGCTTCACTTTGTTTCCAAACATCTTGCTTGCGTCGGAACGCCTTGGATTCCGCTGCGAGTGACGGCGATCGACTAAAGGTTATCTGTTTACATTGTACTCTTATCGCGTTATCTTGGCTAGATAACGTACTTGTATCCGTAATACTTTATACACGATTGATGAAAAAGGTGACAAAATGGGTTAACGTTTGGAAAAGTGTCGATCTCTTATCTTCGTAGCAAAATCGAAGATGAAGAACAAGAGGAAGCGAGTAAAATGAGGACATTGCGGAGCTCTGTAGAAGCAACGTTTCTGCAAAAAAGGATAAACCTATGGTCCTTTAAACAATTATCATGGAAAAAGTTAAGGTGCACTACTTCTGGGGGGTATAGACCAGATATTATAATTGTCTTTAAATTCCCTGCCGTATGCCGTGGTATACCAAATTTATTTATCGCACAAGGCGCTGAC